GTACAAATTTACTCTCCGCCACACACGGATGAGGGGTCTTGCTCGACTTACATTCTTGGCAACTGGCACATACTAAGCTGTCAATATCTATTTGCGGAGTGTATGAATGGATGGATAGATGGAGGGGTCCCTCTCTCCAGCGTTGCTGTGAGGATGCGCTGTGATCCTGGCTGGGCCATCACTCTGGAAACTGCCTCATGCTGCACATGGTGGGTGTTCTGCTCCTGCACCACACCTGGCACGACGTAGGTGCTCAGTAAGCGCTGATGAATGAACTCATGCAACATGAGGCAGGATTTAGGGTGTAGAGGAAGTGCAGATGCAGTGCCCGGGGCAGAGGGAACTCATCAGAGGAAGCAAGTGGGGGAGGCAGGGGCTCTGTCTGGCCCTCTCCGCCCTGCCTGTCGCTCCGGCCTCATCCCTTGCCAGTCTCTGCCCCTTCCCACCCCAGCTGCATCTCATTCCCCTCACATGTCCTGCCCTTTCCCGCCTCCAGCCCTTTGTTCACAAAGTACCCCCATCCTAGAAAGCCTGCAGAAAGGCCAGCTTTCACTCATCCCGCACATCTTAGCTCAGCTCTTGCCCGATTCCTTCACCGATACTCCTGGAACACCTGCTCTATGCCTGTCCCTGTCCCGGACTTTCAGGCATTGGAAAAACAGCTGAGGACAAGGTGTGAAGTCCCTGCCCTCGTGGAGCTTACATTCTAGTGGGACAGAAAGCAAACTGATCAGCAACCAACACATCAACCTCCTCCGGGAAGCCTTCCCCTTCCCCAGCCGCCCCTGCCCAAATCTGATGCCTCTTCTCTGGTTCCCTGTACCCCTCCCCCACTACACTCACCACCCTCTTCTGTGAATTTCTGTCTGTATCTGTCTACACTTAGGAGATAGGATAGCTGGGATTCCTGTCTTTTCCATTTCTTATTCCCACGGATCTGGTACTTGGTGATAACTGTACCTTTGAGTTGAATTTCAGACACTGAAAAGGTGAGGCACGTTGTTCTGGGCTGAGGGGCCGGCAGGGTACAGTGTAAGTGGCTGCATGTTTGGGGAGAGCATGGGGTGCAGGGGGTGGGGTGAAGGCGGCATGACCGTTGTCACCAGATCTTGGAGGGCTGCTCAGGTTTCAAATGGGGGTCTTGCCGAGGGAACGCGTCCCGATTTACTAAACCGCCAAGGGAGCCATGGACTCGATCACATGAGACGTCACATCGGAATGAGTTGCGCCATTCAGTTACTCTCCTCCCGTCCTGCACAGCGACCTGTAAAAGCTGAAAACTAAGTGTCATTGTCCCAATCAGCAAGTTCCTGGCTTAGGGAACCTGTTAGGCTACCAAGAGGTTAAGTAGAAGTTGGAGTCACTCTCGTGGGTGACCTATCCATATAAGGTGGTAAAGGGAACTGGGATGACTTGGGGACATCCTAACCTTTGAGGCTGACGTCATGGTGATAACCACTCGCCCACAACGCATCGTGTGGTACCCGTTCTCCACAGAGATGGATGAGGTCCCTAACACGGGGCTGAGTGTCTGATGCTCTTACAGGCACGCAAAGGGAACCAGCCCCCGCCCCATCCCACCAGGAAACTGCAGAGAAGTTAGAATCGTTTGAAGTTACAATCATTCTCTCGTTCGGCAAATATGTATCGAGGGTCTCCTCCTATAAGAAGGTGCCAACCACTAAAGGAATAATAAACCACGTATAGGTACACCTTGGAGATATTACAGATTCAGTTCCACACCACCACAGTAAAGCAAATGTCTTGATAAAAGGGGTCACACAAAGTTTTTGGTTTCCCAGTTCATATAAATTTATGTTTATCCTGTACTGTAGCCTACTAAGTGTGCAATAGCGTTATGTCTAAAAAAATACTTTATTGAGCTTCCCTGGTGGTGCAGTGGTTAAGAATCCGCCTGCCAATGCAAGGGACATGGTTGCGAGCCCTGACCTGGGAAGATCCCACATGCCACAGAGCAGCTAAGCCCATGCACCACAACTACTGAGCCTGCGCTCTAGAGCCCGCAAGCCACAACTACTGAGCCCACGCGCCACAACTACTGAGCCCACGTGCCACAACTATTGAAGCCCGCGTGCCCAGAGCCTATGCTCTGCAACAAGAGAAGCCCCCGCTCACTGCAACTAAAGAAAGCCTGTGTGCAGCAACGAAGACCCAACGCAGCCAAAAAGAAAATAAGTAAAATAAATAAATAAATAAAAAATACTTTATTGTTAAAAAATGCTAACCATCATCTGAGCCTTCAGAGTCCTAATCTATTTGCAATAGTAACATTAAAGATCACCATAAAAATATAATAATGATGAAAAAGTTTGAAATATTGTGAGAATTACCAAAATGTGACACAGACATGAAGTGAGCAAATTTGTTGGAAAAATGGTGCCTGTAGGCTTGCTTCACACAGGGTTGCCACAAAGCTTCAATTAAAAAAAAAAAAAGCAATGTGTGTGAAGTGCAATAAAACGATGTATGCCTGGATATTGTATGTGTTCATGGGTGGGATGGCGCAGAGAGGGCGGAGCTAGCCTCTTGTGGGGCCTGGCATCAGGTAGGAAGAGGTGCTTGAACTGGGCATTGAAGGATGGACCAGTGTGATCACCAGACAGAAGGGCGTTCCAGGGGAACAGCATGCACAGACACTTGGGGGTGCAAAAAGGTATGATACAGCAGGGCTTGGGAGGGACAGTCAGGTAGTGGGTGTGGCTCCATTTATCAAGGCCATCCTATGTGCCCAGCACTGGACCACGTTGTTCCTCTGATCAAGCCCATCACCCTCTAAGGTGATTTATAGATGAAGACGCTGATGCCCAGAGAGGCTAGGTAACTTGTGTGAAGTCCCACAGCCAGTGGCAGAGCTCAGGTTCCAACTCAGGTTTGTCAGGTTCCCAAATCTGTGCTCCTAACCACCACGCTGAACTGCCCCATGACATGATGCAGGACCAGAGGAGCCTGGTATGACCATTCGGACTTGAGTCCTGAGAACTCCCCGCACGTCGGCCATTTGCACTCCATCTTCAAGAGACCTGTCGTGTCCTCAGACGTTCATTGTCTGAATGCTTGTCTTTATTTTTTAAAATTTTTCTTTATTTTTAAATTTCTTAATTGATTTACAATGTTGCGTTAGTTTCAGATGTACAGCAAAGTGATTCAGTTATATATAAATTTTTTTTTCAGATTCTTTTCCCTTACAGGTTATTACAAAATATTCAATATAGTTCCCTGTGCTATAGGTAGGTCCTTGCTGGTTACCTGTTTTATATATAGCAGTGTGTGTATGTTAATCCCAACCTCCTCATTTATCCTTCCCTAAATGCTTGTCTTTAAATGTTTCACTTTTTAAAAACTTAAATTTAAGTAATTTTTTCTTGACATACAACACATATGAAAAAGTACACAAATCAATTAACTTTCACTCACGTTAAAAAAAAGCGCAGTGGTTGAGAGTCTGCCTGCCGATGCAGGGGACACGGGTTCGTGCCCCGGTCCGTGAGGATCCCACATGCCGTGGAGCGGCTGAGCCCGTGAGCCATGGCCGCTGAGCCTGTGCGTCTGGAGCCTGTGCTCCGCAACGGGAGGGGCCACAACAGTGAGAGGCCCGCGTACCACAAAAAAAAAAAAAAAAAGCAATTTTTCACTCAGGTCAATAACAGAATATTATGAGCCCTCAGCAGCCGGTCTTGTGCCACCTGCCAGACATAGCCCTGCAGGTAGCCACTCCCTGAGTTGTAACAGCATAGATTAGTTTTGTTTGCTTTTGAACTTCATATAAATGGAACCATTCATATAAAGGCTGTTCTTTTAATGTGTCTGGCTCAACATTTGTGTAGTTTAATTTATTCATTCTCACTTTTATACAATATTTCATTATGTGTATATACCAGAATGTTATTTCTCCATTCTACTGACATGTAGCTTGTTTTCAGTTTCTGGCTGTTATGAGTAAAGCTGCTATGAGCATTCTTGTGCACGACTCTTGGTGAACACATGTGCTCATATCTGTTGGGATCATACCCAGAAGTTGAATTCCTGGGTCAGAGGGTAGTATGGAAATGCCCAACATGAGTGGATATGGCCAATTTCCCAAAGTAGTTGTCATAAATTACATCCTCACTACCAGTGAGTCAGAGTTCCAATTACTCCACAGTCCTGCCAACATGTGATACTGAAAATCTTTTTCTTTTTAGTCCTGGTGCATGTACAGGGATATCAAACTGTGATTTTAATTCATACTTCTCTGATGACTAATGCAGTTGAGCACTTCTCATCTGTTCATTGGTCACTTATATATGGCCTTTTTTTTTGAAGTGTTTAAGTCTTTTGCTCATTTTTCTATTTGATTTTTAATTTCTATTCCTTTTTTCTTATTGATAAGTAAGAGTTCTTTATATATACTGGATGTTAGTCCTTTGATAGATATATGATTTACAATCTTTTCCCAAGTAAATTTATTTTATGGGCCATTACTACTATAACTAAAAAACCAATATCACGTGTCATAGATAGTAGGCAAAATACATAAAATAAAAATAAGACAATGTTATTACATTCTAGCTAAATATCTCATGGCTGGCAGAATGGATAGAATCCTGTTAAGAGATTAGCAAGTGAAAAGGAGGTGTTAAAGACATTTGTGGAGACTTTCTCCTTGATGTCTTCAGGAGGTTGGAAAAAATTAGAAAAGATATAATTTTCTCATTTTGCAGCTCCATGTTAATTATTACCCCAGTGTACCCTTTGTCCTTGAGCCTCCTATAATTATGCCACCCACTGTGTGGAGTCTGCACAATAGTTAGGAGATGGTGCATGCGAGGAGGGTTTTCTTTTGTTTTTTTTTTTTTTGCGGTACGCGGGCCTCTCACTGTTGTGGCCTCTCCCGTTGCGGAGCACAGGCTTCGGACGCGCAGGCTCAGCGGCCGTGGCTCACGGGCCTAGCCGCTCCGCGGCATGTAGGACCCTCCCGGACAGGGGCACGAACCCACGTCCCCTGCATCGGCAGGCGGAATCTCAACCACTGCGCTACCAGGGAAGCCCAGCGAGGAGGGTTTTAACGAAGGAGGTTAAACTAAGGGGTTGACATAATAAAACTGATGTTTTAGAAAATCGTTCAGATAACAATGTGAATAAAAAAACAAAAATAGAGGTGAGGAACCTAAGTTAGGAGAAGTTGAAGAAGTCCAGGTGGTAAGTGTCAAGGGTCTAAACCAGGGGTGAGCCAGGGGCTGGGGGTGAGTGTGGGGACTGGAAAGACAAGAGGTAGAATCTGGGCAATGTAGTGGCTGATTGACGGGTTAAGAGAGAAAAAGAAGATGTCTGGGGGACATCTGTGGGATTTGTGGGATTTCTGTGGGATTTCTAAGTCAGACTGGGAGGAGGGGGATAGCAAAGACTGGAGAAGCCAATCATGGGAGGGAGGAGGTGGTGAAATCTATCTGGAATGCGTTGAATTTGAACTGTTTGCAGGACCTCACAGGGAGAGTCTCCGTTTTTTAATTCATTTCACAAATATTCACTGAACGCGTATGGGTGCCAGGGGTACAGCAGTGGATCAGACAGATAAGATTTCTGCTCTGATGGAGTTTAACATTCATGGGAAAGATGGACGGTGGGAAAGACAGATAAGGACCAGCAAAGTATGCACGTGGCTCAGGGCTCTGGGCCATGGGGTGGATTGGGGGCCTGTGGGAGTCAATGCAGCCATTAAAGCTGTCGGCGTGAGTGAGCTTGCCTAGGGAGAGGGACAGAGTGAACTGTGCGGAGGGGAGGGTGGAATGCCAGCGTTTAGAGGCAGCAGGGGAAGGAATACCCTCAAAGTAAACCACGGAGGAGTCATCAGAGGAGGAGGAGGGTGGAAGTGGGTCACAGGAAGAGGGTTTCAAAGATCTTTCAACTGATGCATTCATTCATTTATTCAATCAAACTTTACTTGGTGTCTTCTGAGTACCAGGCTCTGGGGAATCAGAGATGAATGTGAAGTCTCTGGGGGAGGAAGTTGTGTGAACTACAAATGATTAGGCAAGGCTGCACGAGAAATATTCTATTATGGAAGCACAGTTGATGTATGTCGTGGGAGCTCAGAGGATGGGAACTCCCGCTTTTTGAACCTAGTATGCGCTAGGCTTCCTGGAGGGGTGGGCATGGAGCTAGAGAATGGGGGCAAGGGCCTTGACAGAGAAGGACCAGCCTGAGCAAGGGCAAGGATTGGTGAGTTGTGGCAGCCAGGATCCACAAGCACAGGAGGGGTGGAGCAAAGCCAGAGGACCAGAAACCCGGGACAGGCTTAAGATCATGCCGAGACAGTGGGCTGAATTCAGAGGGCGATGGGGCCAGTGCAGATTTCGAGGAGAGTGCCTGCCACCAAGCCCACGGGAGCCAGAGCCCCTGACAACGCCCCTTCTCTTCCCAGCCCCCAGCCGTTAGGAGGCGCCCGCACGCTGCACAGCCAGTGTCCACTCTGCGCACTCCACACAGCCCGGAGCGCCCTGGACAAGACCCGGGAGAAGGGGTAGGCATGTGCTGGAAGACATCTTTCAGAGAGGTATGTGAGAGCCGGGTAGAGTATGGGCGCTTCAGGGTCTTGGGAGCGTTCTCGGAAGAGTGGACGGAGAACTGAGGGCATCTGTCAGAGATGGAGAAGGGTGGATGGGGCAGGAAGTGCCAAGGTCCAGCCCGGTGGCCTGAGCTCCGAGCCATCTCCTGATGGGGAGCCCTGGGCTGACGAAGGGCCAGAGCTCTCTCCCTCCGCACCTTCTCCTAGTCCAGGCCTCACCTTGCCTCCTCCCCCACTACGGGTCATCAGCCTCATCTCCCAGCCTTGGAACTCAGGGCTGCACTGAAACTTTGGGGCTGAGGGCTGGAGGGGGTCAAGACTCTAGGTTCTCTTGGCACACGCCCACAGCGGCCCACAGCGCTAGCAAATCCTCCCTGGTGTTCGGGGTTGGGAATCGCCCTTTGGGCAAAAGACCTCTGGCGCCCCCTACTGCCAGCTCAGCTTCAACGACCCCATCCCTCCTCTCTGCTGCCGACCCTGACCCACGTGGCCGGAACACACCGAGGGCCAGTTTCAGTGGCAGGAAGTGATGAGGAGCCCCGTCAGGACACAGGTCTGGCTTGTGATGTTTACCTGGACTCCAGCAGCTTCCTAATTGGTCTCCCTCCCTCCCTCCTCCACCCACAGCTGGGAGAATCTCTTTAAAACATATCTGTGGAATACTACTCCGTGATAACAAGTAATGAACTATCCGTACTCGCAGTGACTTAAATGGCTCTTAAGCACATTATGCTGAGTGCAAAAAGCCAACCTCAAAAGGTTACATACTTTATGATTCCATTATGTAACATTCTTGAAATGACACAATGATAGAGATGGAGAACTGACAAGATTGCCAGGCCTTAAGGAAAGGGAGGGAGGGTGTGGCTATAAAAGGGCAGCAGAAGGGATTTCTTTTAAGGTGATGGAACAGTTCTGTATCTTGATTGTGGTGGTGGTTATATGAATCTATACATGTAATAAAATGTCATAGAATTAAACACAAAGACATGCCAAAAAATAAGTGCATGCCCAAAATGGTGAAATTGAGTGAGGTCTGTAGTCTAGTTGTGTCTAATGTCAATCACTTTTCTGGTTTTCGTAACACTACAGTTATGTAAGTTGTCACCACTCGGGGAAGCTAGGTGATGGGTACACGGGACCTCTTGGTACTATTCATGTGACTTCCTGTGAGTCAATAATTCTTTCAAAATAAAAAGCTTACGAAAAGAAGAAAAAAGCATACCTGGCCATATCACCTAGCTTTTGCTTTTGTTTTTTTAAATACATTTATTTATTTATTTATTTTTGTGTTGGGTCTTTGTTGCTGTGCGCGGGCTTTCTCAAGTTGTGGTGAACAGAGGCTACTCTTCGTTGTGGTGCACAGGCTTCTCATTGCGGTGGCTTCTCTCGTTGCGGAGCATGGGCTCTAGGCACGCGGACTTCAGTAGTTGTGGTGCATGGGGCTTAGTTGCTCCGCGGCATGTGGGATCTTCCCGGACCAGGGCTCGAACCCGTGTCCCCTGCATTGGCAGGTGGATTCTTAACCACTGCGCCACCAGGGAAGCCTCCGCCTACCTGTTTATCTTGTGGCACCTGGTGGGCCACATAGGATGAAGTTCATGGAAGGAAAAGTGCCAACTCCTTTAGTATACCAAGCCCTCCTCTGAGGCTGGCAACAGAAAAAGAATATTCCCTCTTGGAGGGCACAGGGGACTGGACCTCACAGCCCCGATTCTACCTGGGGGGACTCGCTTGTTAATCCCAGTGCATCCCCTCCTGTACTGGCCTGAGGAGGCGTTCTTCCACCTCTGATGCTCTGGTCGCCAAGTGGACAAAGTACCCTTCCCTTAACACTGCTGGGCCTCACTTTTGTTTGTTTGTTTTATTGTATTTCTCTTTTTTAAAATTTTTTTAACAATCATGTAAAGTTTTAAATCAGGAAATAAACTTTTTTAGCTTAAAAAAAATTTTAAGACACACCAAGCTTCCTATCTGGATATAGTCATGTATGAAAATCGTATCTTAGCACTTTTCTGTATCACTTTTAAAAACGGGATCATTTCAATGGCTGTGATCCTCTATATGAGTTAGAAGACTAATTAAGCATTGAAAGGCAAGTTTTTCACCAGCTAAATATTTAGTCTTATTTCAGTAAGACGTTTCATTTAGACATAAAATTTCACAAAACTACAGCTTGGGAGTGGTATAGCTATCTATTGACAGAGGCTACTTACATGTGTAACACAATAATAAACCTTTATGAAAATGTTTCTGCAGGTGTGCTGGTGTCCTCCTGGGTATCACAAATACATCTGTGGGGATCAGTCTCGGAAAAAAGGCTGCTCTGGAGCTCCGGGAAACAAAAGCTGAAATAAATTATGTTTTCAGACAATGCAAAGTAAGCTTTTAAGCTTCCACGATGTTGGGTGAGGCATTATAATGAGCTGGTTGGTCCCCATTTTTTAAAGTGCAGCGAAGGATAACCAGAATGAATTTTCAAGATGTCTTATTCACTTTCCCCTTAAAATGAAACTGGTGAATGGTAGTCAGTGCTTGGCTACTGTTAAGTTTACCCCCCAAAATGTTGATGAATAAATGAATAAATAATTTTTACTCTTAAAAAAAAAAAAGAAGAAAAGAAGAGGGAGAGATGAGCTCCCTCTCTCCCGCTGTGCCGTGTGAGGTCACAGCAAGAAGGCAGCCATCTGCAAGCCAGGATGAGAGCCCTCACCACAACCCTACTCTGCTGCCACACTGATCTCAGACTTCCAGTTTCCAGAACTGTGAGAAATAATTTCTGTTGTTGAAGCTACCGTCTATGTTATTTTGTTACAGAAGCCCATGCTGACTAAGACAGTATTTCCCATAAAAACTCGCACCTGAATGTTCACAACAGCATTATTCATAACAGCCCCAAAGTGGAAACAATCCAAACATCCATCAGTTAGTGAATGGATAAAAAAATGTGGCATATCCATACAATGGAATGCTATTTGGCCGTAAGAGTGAGTGACGTACCTCCATGGACTACATGGATGAACCTGGAAGACATGTAGCCCTTAGCCTAGCGGGGAAGTGAAGGCTATGAAAGCACAATTCCGTTACAGCCAGGCAAGTGTGATGAGGGAGAGAGGCACGTATGAGAGATCTGAGGAGGGGTGTGGGGGCAGGTGTGAGCTGAGGCTGAGAGGAGAAGGAGGAATTAGCCAGGAGAAAGGGAGGAAGACAGGGGACTGTGAGCTCAAAGGCATGCAGGCAAGGAACATTCCGGAGTGTGCTGGGAGCTACAGGCATGGGCACAGCTGCTGTGCAGAGAGGTGGGAGGCATGGTTGGGGAGGGCCTCAGAGGCCACACACCAGAGTGCCATGGTCAGATGGCTGCTAAGTGGGCGATGGAACTGGAAGTGGAGGAGTCCATCCAGATGAGAGGCTGAGCAGGGGTGGGAGAGGCAGATCCCGGAAATCTTTAGCGGGTAGAAGACAGGGACTTGGAAGCTGACTGGATACGGAAGGGAAGACGCCCTGGGTGCATGGATGTGCTGTGCCCTGAAATAGTGGGAGGGGCTGGCTTCAGTTTTGTTTTAGGCAGTGCGGTGCCTGGCAGCCACCCGTGCAGGTGGACATTTGCACTTGGAACTCGGAAGCGAGCGGTTCAGGCTGGTGACAGAGATCTGAGTGATGCACGTGCAGGCTTGATGACAGTCCCCAGAGTGGAACGGGTGAGCGCCATCAGGGAGGCGGAGAGGAGAGAGCAGTGGGCCGGGGCATCACCATTTACAGGCTGGGCAAAGACCCATGTTGCTGTGAGCAAAGGACAGCTTGTCTAGGAGGATGACAGGCAGTTCACGAGTCCACTCACATGAAGGCTGGGCGCGTCCACAGGACTTAGCAAACAGGTGGACACCGGAAGCCTCTTCTAGGGCAGCGTCAGGGCAGATGCCTGGCTGTCGGAGGACATGGGGTATCTGCTGGGAGGGGGACAGAGGCTGCCCCCTGGGGCAGCCCTTATCAACTGTGTCACTTATTTTTGTCCATCCCCCAACCAGATGGTACTTCAAGAGGGCAGACACTCTTTCTATATATACGAGTATACATATACTCTTTCTATGTATCTTTGTGTCTCCAGACAAAATCCAGTTCACCCCAAACGTGTTCACTGTGCACCTGCAGTGCTCGCCATGCACTGTGCTCGCAGCTGAGGGTTATGGCTGAGCTCAGCCTTCTGGTGGGGCTCATGTAGGTGCTCAGGCCGTGGGCATGAAGTTCTGGGCAGGCTCTGCCGCCAACCTGCCGTGCGACCTCAGGTGAGTTACAGCTCGTCTCTCCAGGAGTTTACTCTCTGGCAGTAGCTGATTTCTGAAGCTCCTCCTGGGAATAGTATGTGATGATTCTGGGACTTCCGTGCCTGCAGCTGCCCACGTTCCTTGCTGCCCACCAAGCTCTTGGCAGGGTCAAAAGCTTGGGGTGGGGTGGGGAGCTGACACTTCCCAAGACCTTCCTGCCCAAGGATCCTCCTGCCACAGGTCCCCATTCATCGTGGTCCACAAGGCCCTGTGCATTCTGCCCCGTCAGCCTCTCCAGCATCACCTCCCCCCCAGGCCTGCTGGCTTTGTGGGCTCCAGTCACGATGGTCTTCGCTCAGATTTTGTTCTCCCCACAAGACTTCTTGCCTCAGAGCCTTTGCACATGCTGTTCCCTCTGACTAGACACCTTTCCCTTAATTCCTCACCTTGTTGACTCCTCCTCATTCTTTAGTGCTTGGCTCAAATGTGGCTTCAGCAGAGACATCTTGGCCCCCTGGGGGACAGTCACACCCCAGTGACACACCTTCAGAGCACCCTGTGCTTTTCTCAGCTCCTGTACCAACATGGTTAACCAAGTAGTTGGGTGTTTAATATCCGTCCAGTTCCGCCCTTAGACCTGTGAGAGGGGTCTCTGCCCTGCCATGGGTCCCACTTTAGCTCTGGACCTTCTCTGTCTGTGCTTCTCCCCCCAGGATGAGGAATCTTTGGCGCCCCCTTGGAGCCCAGGCCCATCCCTTTAGACCATGCTCCTGACACGTGGGACCCCAGGCCCATTCCCTCAGTGGGTGGACCATGTGGGGTGACCAAGGGGCAGCAGATTGCACTGCTGTGTCCACCTCCCCTTGGGCCAGGATGCTCTGAGGGTGGGAAGATATGGTGTGCGTGGCTGAGAGCAGAGCCAGCTCTTCTCATGCCAGCCATCTGGGCATGGAATTCGGAAGAGTCAAAGAAGTTTATGTTAGAACCTGGCCTTTGGGGATTCCCTGGCGGTCCAGTGGTTAGGACTCCTTGCTTTCACTGCCTAGGGCGCAGGTTTGATTCCTGGTTGGGGCACTAAGCTCCCACGAGCCGCATGGCAAGGCAAAACGAAAAAACAAAAAAAACCCCTGGCCCCCCAGGTCATCATGAAAGATATTTGTCAAAGTAGGAGAATAGAACACATTTTATTGAACACTTGTCAGCTTGATTTATAGCTTTACGATATGCTGACGTATGGTATGAGGCCTCCACTTCTACTCTTGCCCCAGCCCCTCGGGCATTAGGGGTGGGCTTCGGTCAGCCCTGCCCGCCGAACCATACGCTCCACCAGGGAGGCCGTGTGCGGTACCCCCGCCCCAGAGCACAGTGCCTGGCACAGAAGAGCAGATAATAAATATCGGCTGTGAGAAACAAGTGAGATGATATGGTGCAAATGTCAATAAATATTAGCTATTATTGTTTGAACACATGAACGGGCCGGTGGGCCAGGGGGCTGAGACCCATATACTGAGGTTGTTTGTGTACAAGAAGGGAAGGGGGGCTGATGACCGCAGCGTCCACGCTTCCTTTTCTGAGGATGTGCCCTCCTTCCCCCTACCCATCGGGTCTCCCTCCCAGCTCTTCATGGCAAGGTGGGCACCAGGGAGGCCTACCTGACAGCCGAGGCACTGAGAGGGGCTAGGAGCTCCTGCCAGTGCTACTTCCCCTCCCCGCAGAGAAGAACAGCTGCGGCAGATTCCCTCTTTGCCTCAGGGACCTCCCCAGGCCCAGACAGAACCCACTCAGCTTCGTTTCCCTGCTTTACCGTAAGGCCATGCTGGGGTTGAGGGGTAGCTGAAAGGATTGATTTCACCCTCACAGGAGGCTGTGCTCTGGTGTGAGAGGAGTCCGATCACCCCCCAGACCCTGAACCAGGCACTTTGCCTTTGTACGCCTCAGTCTCGTCATCTGCAAGACGGCATTACTAGTAGAAATGGTGCAAGTCAAGTGGCAGGTGCAGGGCACACATTTAGTGACCAGGAAGAACCCCTGCACAGAGCACAAGTGGATCAGGGAGGGCAGAGGCCCAGAACCTCAACAGGAAAGTCAATGAAGAGGGTCTACAGCCAGCCAGTGATTGGGCCTGGCAGGAGCTTCAGCCCAGAGGCCCGGGGAAAGGTAGCTTCAGCTGCCCGCCGGAGGCCCGGCTCAGTCCTGTTTCCGCAGCAGGGAGGTTGTCGATTGCTGCTTCATGATGGGCACAGTGCCACGCACGGGCCGGGGACCCACAGGGCCTCCCTGAAGGCCTCCACCAGGTGCAGGCCTGACGAAGCCAGGAAGCCCTTCGGCCAAATTCCTCCTCGCAACAGCCGCCGTCCCAGAAAACTCTCCCCCCACCCCTCGTTCTCGCACACGCACAGTAGGTGGCGCTGTGATAAAGAATAGAGCCCAATTAACCCCCAAACAGGCCAAATCAGAGAAAAAAAAAAAAAAAAAAAAAAATCACATTTTGCGAACTGCCCACCAGGAGTCACCATACCCTCAGAACCGAGAGGTGCAGAACTCGCACGGGCCTGCGGACTGGCGGGAGGCGGAGGGTCTCAGAGATAGAGTCCAGACGCGTGGCTTCCAGCCGCCCCGCTTCTATGCAGGACCACTGTCGCCGCCCCCACTCCCAGGTCCGCAGCGCCATCAGCGGGGGTAGGGGTGCGGGCCCGCGGTCAGTGCGGCGGGAAGACGTCTGCGCACTGCTGCAGGATGAGCTCCACCACCTGGTTCTGGAACACCATGGTCATGGGCATGCTGGTTTCCTCTGTCTCGGGCCGCAGCAGCGTGGGCCCGAACACTATGGCCACGCTCTGCACGGACATGCGGTTCTGTTCTCCGTGCTCGATCACCCTGCGGTGGGGGTGGGGTGGAATCAGGGCCCAGAGCTGGGGGGAGGCGTGCGGGGGAGGGTCCTATCAGGCCCGCCTCCCCATTCCCCTGCGGCTCCCCGGCTCACCTGCACAGGTGCTGGAAGAGCAGCCGCATTGTGTCGTGGTTGGGGGCGGGCAGCGAGCGCACCAGGCTCTGAATACAGCGGCTGCGCTGAGCCTGGTCCTGCAGCTCTGGGCAGGGGAAGGGTCAGAGGCAGAGAGAAGAGAGGGAGGGAAACAGAGGGCGCTGACTTCCAGTATTTTGCGGGGGCGGTCCCAGCCAGACGGGTGCCTGAGGCAGCCCAGCCCCACCCCTACCCCATCCGCCCCACCTCCCTCAGGCGCTCACTGATGGCTGCGATGAACTGGGGGAAGTGCGAGAAGGGGAAGAGGGGCTCGGGCAGCTCTCGAAAGAAGAGCTTCAGGGCGCCGGTGAT